AATGAGTTGTATAAAACCTAAACCTCATACAAGAGGTCTGCCGTGTCTCATCGATCTACTTTTGTTGTTGATATGCATCACTGTTTACCTGGGACAATAGACACGATATTGACAGTTGTCAAGCAAGTATTAACCATGCAGTATATCCCTGATGACTCTCACAGGGCGTGAAGTGTCACGTTTTGACGAAGTCTCCTGACAACCACATGACCAGCGCACGTCTCGTGCATTGTACGGTTTTACCATGCAGATAAATGAAAAGTACCCTCGCAGTTAGTGCTGATGAACACTCTTAGTCGTCCAGACATGTCAATAGGTAGGACAAACAACTTAATAGATCTTAATGGTTATGCTAATGCACGATCCGTACTTGAGTGCCGCGGGCGACTTTTGTCGCCGAAAGCGAGATGTGAATGCTTAATTGCACGAAAGGTGTAACGGCTAAAATGCATGTAACACGACGTCAGAAACCACAAGCATGGGTATGGTGCTAACAAACCTGGAAACCGGGAATCACTCATAGATTTCAACTCTGCAGAGCGAATTGCACATCCTCAGACGACTGGGAATATATCACAAACCCTATGTAAGATGTGTACAGGTTCGATACGTGAACATTTCACAATCCATTAATATGTTTAGAAGGGGAGACAAACTCGGGTTAGTCTGTTATTGTAGTGCTGGTACTGTTGGTGAGGAAAACACTTGGCACACGTTCGCTCGTCACCATCACCGTCACTCGCCACCGTCGCTCGTCCCCGTCACTCGCCATCGTCCCCGTCCCGCGTCCCCGTCACTCGCAACCATCACTCGACCCCGTCACTCGCCCCCGTCACTCGCCCCCGTCACTCGTCCCCGTCACTCGCCCCCGTCACTCGTCCCCGTCACTCGTCCCCGTCACTCGACACCGTCACTCGTCCCCGTCGCTCGCCCCCGTCACTGGTCCCCGTCACTCGTCCCCGTCACTCGACGCCGTCCCTCGTCCCCGTCACTCGCCCCCGTCCCTCGTCCCCGTCCTTAGCCCCTCGTCCTCCGTCCCCGTCACTCGCCCCTGTTACTCGTCCCCGTCACTCGCCACAGTCCCTCGTCCCCGTCACTCGTCCCTGTCACTCGCCACAGTCCCACGTCCCCGTCGCTCGCCACCATCACCGTCACTCGTCCCTGGCCCTCGTCACCGTGACTCACCACCGTCACTCGCCATCTCCACTTGCCACAGTCACGCGTCACCGTGACTAGGCCTGGGGGTCTATGTGCACACTCAATTTCTAACACATCTGTGGGTTAGAAACCCATTTGAGATAATTGGTACAAAACACATGTGTGAGGTCGAATTCCAGCCCCGTGATTGGCTACTCCATGGTGATGAGGACTACTTTCGTGATAGCAAGCCATTCATAAGTTTCTTGAGCTTCAGTCGAATGTCCACCTACGTCTGTGTTGAACGTGCTGTTGTTTTTGGAGTGTAACCCCCGAATGCCACAGCGACATATATTATGTCTGTCCTCTTCAACCCTCACTTCGAAGTCTGATAAGATGCAAAATAAATCACGCACACTTATACACTTTCCCTCTTCTGTGATAGCATCCACTGTCAATTTAGGCAAAACAAATTACTGAAAGTGACCTCGGAAAATTAGGTACACCGTAAATGAATCGATGCATCTTGTCTATACTGTAATGTACATTACAAGGGTCAGGTAAATTCAACAGAAATCGTAAACGCACAACGACGACGGTAGTTACCTGCATTTCCTGACCAATTGTCTTGGTTGCATTGGAAAACATAAAACAAATACTGGTAACAGTACGCAGATTGTCTGATTGTATCTGATTACTTACATAACACATTTATGTACCATACCTCAATCGGGGGCACGGGTGGCCCAGTCGTCTAAGGCGCTGCGATCTAAGTTGCGTCCCCTGGGCACGCTAGAAACCTATGATTGTGGGTTCGAATCCCGGTTCGCCCCAATTATGTTTCTAGGTTTGTCAGCACCATAACCGTGCTCGTGGGTTTCACCGAAGTGGTAAACGTCTGAGACCTGCATCACATCGGGCTTTCCTCCCACATTAAGCTGACACGCCGTGATATAACTGTGATACTGTTTAAAGTGGCGTTAAACCCAACTCACTCACTCACTCACCATACCTCAATCAACGAAAATCCTCCTCAGAAAATCCTGCGTACTGTTGTCAGTGAACATGCCATTATGTAAATGTCGGTCACCCGCAGTGATATCTTATGGAAATAAACATTGTTGTAAAATCATTAACTCGGCATCCCGCAGGTTCTTTGATCTTATCTAGTTTGCAACATCATCATCGCCTTAAAAATCAACAGATACGGCGGAAACTTTTTTGTGTAGTGTCACATTATATATGAGGAGTAAGCAGAACATCGGATGACGTCACTCATGACCGTGGTGTTATGAATTAATGCGCCACTGCGATCATGAGAATAAACAATATGCATCGATTCGATCCCCAAAAGGTGCGATCTTAGGCTGTGTAAGAAACAGATCACTACACTTGTGCTTGTCAGATGCCATTTATCTTACAACATGTTGTTTCAAGCATATCTAACTCACTTTCGCTCGTCAGACACGTTTTGAAACAACTCGTTTAAAGATTAATGGTATCTGACAGACACTCGTGTCGTAAACTATATTAAGGACGTCTTCAATATGTCCTGATGAGTGAGTGAGTTGGGTTTAACTCTGCTTTGAACTGGGTCCTGTTCTTAACCCGTGGGTTTTACTGTATGAGCGACGTCCCAATTCACGACAGGGTCTTCAGCAACCCATGCTTGTCGTAACAGGCGACTATGCTTGTCGTAAGAGGCGACTCACGGGATCGGCATGTCATCGTATCCCAGTTGCGTGGATCGATGCTCATGATATCAGTCCCTGGATTGTCTGGTCCAGACTCGATTTATTTTGGAATAGTGCTGAGTGCAGCGTTAAAATAAAACAAAAAACAGTCAAGCACACAAACAAACACTAAAATGCTATGGACATACTCTTGCTAGGGTCACTACGGGGTTTAAGCACGGAATGCAGTTCATAATTGTCAGTTTAGTATTTTATTTTAGTGATATCTTTCGTTAAATGGCTCGCCGTCCCATGCAGGCGGTATACACATGTGTCTTTGTTTGTTGGTTGTTAGATAACCGCCTCCGTGGCCTAGTGGTAGAGCGTCCGCCCGGAGAGCAGAAGTTCCGGGGTTCGATCCCTGCCTGCGTCATACCACAAGTCATTTAAGGATGGTACTTGTTGATACCCTGCCTGGCGTCGGCATTAAGGGGGTAAAACAAGGACTGGTCGGCTCGGAGTCAGTATACTGTTTGTGGATGGGGTATTCGTGTTAAACAGTGGCATGATATCTCAGTGTGCTAGCACTACAAACCCGGCATTAGTCCGGACTAGTACAAGAAGGCGCGCGCTAACACACACACATGCACGTCGCTATACGAGTGCAATAATCTTGGACGCGACGTTAAACCCCATTTCACATTGTTAAATACACACTCGGCAATAGGACGGCGGCCTGTAAACTATCCAGTCTGGACCAGACAATCCAGTGATTAATATTATGAGGTTCGTCTACCTGCCCAATCCATTTGGACCCTCCTAAAAGCTTACGTGACCAGCATAGATTGCTGAGGACCTTTTCTAACCGGAACCCCATCGACTGTACTGACCACACACTGAGTCGTGATCCGGGGTAGAATAGGTCTTCAGCAACCCATGCTTGCCGTAAAAGGCGACTATGCTTGTCGTAAAAGGCGACTAACGTGATCGGGTGGTCAGGCTCGCTGACTTGGTTGATGCAGGTCATCGATCCCTATTGCGTGGATCGATGCTCATGATTTCAATCACTGGATTGTCTGATCCAGACTCGATTATTTACAGACCGCCGTCATATAGCTGGAATATTGCTGAGTGCGGAGTTAAACAACAAACCAACGCGATTGTAGCTGACGCCAACGATGCGCCGAGGAAATGAAGCATACACATTTTAAAATGAACAATCATCATTTACCTTTGTTACACGTTTGCCCAAACACAGCTTTCTCAGGGCAGATTTGACTTAAAAGGAAGTATTTAATTTAAACGCAAGGCATATCACAGAACCAGCCAACAATCAACACACGCTTTATCCATCCAGGCGTTATAATACGCCCACCGCCTGCATAGACATGTTATCGGCTTGATTGTGTTGTCTATCAGGCGTAGTCTATCGATGACCATACAACACGCCGTCTTTTGTGTCAGTTGTATGTTTTGGGGCTCAAGACGAGGGGGCTCATCTGTTTATTATGACATGGCTTCACAATGTATCAATTGGTAATTCCGTGAGAATAGGTCCCCAGAATTCCTTCTTGTTGTAAGAAGTGACTAAAGCTGCTCGGATGTGTACCCTGACCTCATCGCTGGTTGGTCCAGAAGCCCTGGTTTGTTTGCAAGGGCTCGGTTTTGTTAGGTTGCCGTGATACAGCCGTGATGTTGCTGACTCCGGTGTAAAACAATACTCACTCACTCACTCTACTCGTTTACGAGCACTTGGTAACCTTTTCGCCCTGACGCGAATCTATTATGGTGGCCATTCCTGGTGTTCCCCGTTGTGATATTGCTGTTCCCCGTTGGGATATTGTTGGAATATTGCTGTCCCCATTGTGATATTGCTTGAATATTGCTGTTCCTCGTTGTGATATGGCTTGAATATTGTTGTTCCTGGTTGTGATATTGCTGGAATATGGCTGTTCCCTGTTGTGATATATTGCTGGAGTATTGCTTTTCCCCTTTGTGATAATGCTGGAATATTGCTGGCCCCATTGTGATATATTGCTGGAATACAAACGCTTCACCAATAACCCAAAGATCAGCTTAGCGATCTTCCTGATGCAAGGGTATGACAAACGACAGGTACACAATTCAAATCGTTAACCTATCCGAAATGTCTTTCACTTCCACCCAACCCCCATATCCACCCTCATTGCCGTTATAAATCTCTTCACGCTGTCAAGTTCCCTTGAATCAACATTTCTCGCGTGTAGCACGCATTCCTCTTGACCCTCATTTACATGGTGCACGGTCCCAGGAATCGTTACCTGTTTATATCTCTATCAGGGGAGGGACGTTACACGGGGTGCACTCGTCATACACTGCCGGACAGGCATTGTTTACCGTGGAGTACTTGGTCCGTGCTGACAGCGGACAGATGTAGCCGGGGGAGGGGTTCCGTGTCGCAGACAGGTAGATCCGCGGGGAGTGGACAGGTACCTACGGCCAGCTGTGCAGTGCAGGTAGACAGGAGGGCGAGATAGGGGCGCCTACACACCCGGGGAGCTGGTTGACGGGGGAGGAATGTTCATGGTGAGTACTTTGAGAAAGCCTTGCTTACACAGCGAGTGAGTTTAGTGTAACGCCGCTTTGAACAGTATTTCTGTTAAGCCACATGTCAGCTGTGTGGAGGAAAGCGCAGTGTAAATCAGGTCTTGGACTTTGTGATCTACGAGCTTTGGGCGACAGATCAGGGCAAATCTTAGGTTCGAACCCACGATCAGCGGATTCTGTCATGGGTAAGGGACGTAACTCTGCAAAGCGACTTAAACCGCTGAGCCCCAGTCATACCCAAAATCAGGAATTGTGATACACTGTGCAGTGCGAATCACACTTATTATATCATGTGTATGCCATTGTGTTAGTCCGCGTTGTGCTGTTCTGGAGCAGGTGCGTGCATGGGTGTGACTGGGCGTGGGCTTGTAGTTTACCCTGCAGCGCTTCCATAGACCCCCTCTGTCAGTACATGCAGTAGTACTGCGGCCAGATGTGTTACATATTCAGTAGCCTAACACGTCCCTTCAGTGTTATCAGAATACACACAAAGTGTGGAGAAGTGGTGACAGGCACAACTTGTAAACCCCCTTCACTTCACGAAAGTTATTGTCCCCATAACATGTAGACAAACAAATGAAGCAAACTGATGATGATTAGTGTGGCGTAAACTGTAGAAACACTAAACAGAGTGAGACCTCGTTAATCCGAACATTATCCCACCCTGAACGTTCGGATTAACTAATCACGTGAACAGATGATTTGTGCATTCGGAAGTTACCAATAATTCGTTACTCCTGAAATTTATTACTTCAGAGAGTACCGATGATTCGTTTTTCCGGGGTTACTCGCGATTCGTCCCGTGTTAGACTTAGTCTGGGATCCATGAACCTATAGTGTAGCTTGTCGTAAGGGCTAAATTGCATCGATGGCTGTTCGGCTGTTTGACTTTGCTGTTGGCGTGTTATCGTGAAGGCTGAGTCGTTGCTCTTTGTGCCAGTCACTGGTCTGTCTGGTCCACACTCGATCACACTGGATATAACTTGACTATTGCTGACTGCGGCCTAAAACATCATACGCACTGTGTGTTACTGGGTACCTGGGATTGCTGAATGCGCATTAATCGCTACACCATACAATGCATTATATTATGAGATGTTCTATATCGACACACCTGAAGTACGACAGTCACCACTCACTAGGGCATTGCTTCCTGGAGAGGGTTCGTGGTTTTGGTGATGGGGAAGGGGGTTGTTTGGGGTTGTTAGTCTAGTGGTTAAAGCGTTCGTTCGTCACGCCGAAATTTCGGGTTCGATTCCCTCAAGGGTATAATGTGAAGCCCATTTCTGGCGTCCCCCACCATGATATCGCTGTACTGTTGCTAAAAGCGGCGTAAAACCATACTCACTCGTTCACCCTGGATCCGGGAAATTGGTAACTATTTGACATACTGTATACTCCTTCCTCCTACCTGCTTAACCCAGTGACACATCCGGGGCTCTAGTTCTGCCCAATTGGTCCAAATACTCATCGTTTATTCAAACCAATTTAAACCGGTATAAGATAATGTTACTTGCGAAACGCCGCGAAAAACAGCGTTAAACAATTGACCTTTTGACCCACAAAATCTCGAAATATCTTCTGTATATAAATACTTACACGGAATTAATCCCTGCGCTACGCACCAATACATTTAAAAAAGGGTGGACCACTTGATTCTCCTTAAATTGCATCACGACTCTACCCACCCAAACAGCAAAGCGCTGAAAATCCAATTACAAAATGGCTAAAGAATGTAACACTTCAATTACAAGCGACTGTGCGCCCGAGTGACAGCGTTGGTTTAAATGGCAGTGTTCAGTTATCAACTCACTGGACACAGATAAATGACATGCCACTATAAATCTACGTGACTCCGACACACTTAAACTGGTCTACCTAGTATATTGAAGTCTTTAATCTTGATAGGCGGACGCCACAGGTAAGACCAGGTAAAGCCAAGGTTAGTCAGTACAAAGGCCATATACCCGGTATAATCTCCGGGTGGGGCGTTGCTTATTAAACGGTAGAGTCTGCACGCTTTTAGAATGTATTTATCGGCAATAGGAAAGCTGAGTAATATAACGTACACACATTGCTCGACAATTAGTGAGTGTGATGTCAGGTGGCTTCTAGCTGTGATATGGAGGCGGGGAACGCTGTGATCCTCACCCATGGCCATGGGTGTCGTTGTAGAAAGCAACCTTAGCGCTACGACTGTCGTAAGTCTATGTTAAGGTATGGTTGGTTGGTTGTTTAACGCCGCACTCAGCAATATTCCAGCTATATGACGGCGGTCTGTAAATAATCGAGTCTGGACCAGACAATCCAGTTATTGATATCATGAGCATCGATCCACACAATTGGGATCAATGACATGCATGAACCAAGTCAGCGAGCCTGACCACCCGATCCCGTTAGTCGCCTTTTACGACAAGCATGGGTTACTGAAGACCTTCACGGGACTGTTCAGGTATGGGAATTACGATCACCTGAGCGCTGAGGTCGGGCGCTGAGATCGGGCTGTCCTCCGATGGACAAGGGAGAGCTTTAACCACTAGACTACCCCACCACCGTGTGCCCCGAGCTTGTGTTTAAGATGATATTCTCTCCAAACTTCTAAATGCCAAAACGTCTACAGACTAAAACAACAATTATCATGGCACAGTGCACGCAGTTCTGCCTGCATTTTACCTGTTAGTGGAATGGAACAGCACAATAGAAATAACAATAAGAATGTATAAAATATGTATACGATTTAATTTATGCAAGCTTTTGTTACATTTATTACCTTTATGTATAATACTGCATTTATCATAGCTCATTAAACAGATATAGCACATTTAACAGGTATAGCACATTAAAATGCAAACATTAGAAGTCTTAAGATAATTCTTAAGCCTTGGTGGGTGTCTGTCTTTATGCAACTTGGCGCCTCGCCGTGCTTCTCATTTGTGAAAGGTAGGGTTGACAAAGGCGCCTTGTAGTCACGCCAATGGACCGGGTTCGATTCTCATATGGGGGCAAAGTGTGAAGCCCATTGGTGATGCCCCAAACCGTGGAATTGTTTATATAATGCTAAAGGCTGCGTAACACTCACTCACTCACTCACTCACTCACTCACTCATTCACCCACTCACTCACTCACTCACTCACTTACTCACTCACTCACTCATTCACCCACTCACTCACTCACTCACTCACTCACTCACTCACCCACCCACCCACCCACTCACTCATTCACTCACTCACTCACTCACTCACTCACTCACTCACTCACTCACTCACTCACTCACTCACTCACTCATTCACTCATTCACACACTCACTCACTCACTCACTCACTCACTCACTCACTCATTCACACACTCACTCACTCACTCACTCACTCACTCACTCACTCACTCACTCAAGTCATTTCCCCTGTCTTGTGACTTGACAACTTGAGTACAGTATAGAGCAGATACGCCAGTCCGACACCAGCCTTCAAGGACAACAAACTCTTCAGTGACAGGGAGTGATGTGTTTGCACCCGGCCGGGGGACAGTGATGGAAGGGGCAATGTTTGGCAGTGTTAGTTTTGCACTCACTCAACGCTCATTCTGACAACGTAACGGCGCTCATTAATAGCAAACTGAATCCATAACATCTGGTGATGAAGATTCGTTAATTAAAAATTCCTGTAGGCGTGTAAAAGATGACTCTGATTCCTGGGTCATGTTGGCAATATATTTGTTGAACACCCCGCTGTGAAGTAATTGGGCAACTGACGCACACACCTCGTCCCACGGCTTTTATGACACACTTTTTTACATAGTTGATCCATATTTGTCAGTATCTAAGCTAGATAAAACGCTCCAAAGTTTTGGTTGGTGTTGAGAAACCCGAGGGTAGCAGGGGTAGGGCGATGAAGTTCAAGGGGGATGATGAACTCCTTGCGGGTAGTTTCAGCAAGCTATGTCCTAGGTTATGTAAGTATCATCTTGAGAACAGCAGTATTAAAGGGCACGTTTACCTAGAGGGTAAGTTTTTCTAGAGGTCCAGTGTTCCAAGAGGGTCAGTTTTCCTTGAGGGGTAGTTTTCCTAGAGGGTCAGTTTTCCTAGAGGGTCAGTTTTTCTAGATGTCCAGTCTTCCTAGAGGGTCAGTTTTCCTAGATGGGTAGTTTTCCTAGAGGGTCAGTTTTCCTAGAGGGTCAGTTTTCCTAGAGGGGTAGTTTTCCTAGAGGGTCAGTTTTCCTAGATGGGTAGTTTTCCTGGAGGGTCAGTTTTCCTTGAGGGTCAGTTTTCCTAGATGGGTAGTTTTCCTTGAGGGTCAGTTTTCCTAGAGGGGTAGTTTTCCTAGATGGGTAGTTTTCCTAGAGGGTCAGTTTTCCTAGATGGGTAGTTTTCCTTTCGGGTCAGTTTTCCTAGATGGGTAGTTTTCCTGGAGGGTCAGTTTTCCTTGAGGGTCAGTTTTCCTAGAGGGGTAGTTTTCCTAGATGGGTAGTTTTCCTAGAGGGTCAGTTTTCCTAGAGGGGTAGTTTTCCCAGAGGGTCAGTTTTCCTAAAGGGCCAGTCTTCCTAGAGTGCCAGTTTTCCTTTCGGGTCAGTTATCCTGGAGGGCCATTTATCCCAGACGGGCAGTTTTCCTAGACGGGCAGTTTTCTGGGTAGTATCCCTGGTACCAGTTACCCTATAATCCCCAAAGCTGACAAGTGAAGTTAAGTTTTGAGGCGGTCGAGTCGCCAAGAGTCTAAAGTGTTTTGCGCGTCATTCTAAAGACCCTGGTTCGATTACTCACATGGTTACAATGTCCATTCTTTGCAACGGCGTGAAACAATATTCACTTGTTTCTTTGGGGCCTTAGACATACCAATATATATGTAGAAATACCAAGTGATGTTAGAGTCGCAATGCTGTCTTCACCCCCGTGTACCGAGCTGTATTGATATACAGTCCCAGGGGGTGTTTGTATCACAGCTTTGTCGCGTATAGTGTCCTGTAGTCACTGGTTCAACAGGCACTGTGTAATGTATTCACGAGACTTGCACTGACAAAGACGCCTTTGTTGGGACACACCCGGTTTCACCTCCACATACCTCCGAATTAAATCCCAGTATTACAAATACCTGTGTTATATACATGATAAGCGCTACGTGATCAAGCACTGGCTCCGAGTTGGAAGTACTGAAAGAAATAAGGAGATCGGGTGGTCAATAATAAGGGGATATGGTGGTCAGTAATAATGGGGTGGTGCGGTCAGTAATAAGGGGGTGGTGCGGTCAGTAATATGGTGATCGGGTGGTCAATAATAAGGGGGTGGTGTGGTCAATAATAAGGGGATATGGTGGTCAGTAATAAGGGGGTGGTGCGGTCAGTAATAAGGGGATATGGTGGTCAGTAAAAAGGGGATATGGTGGTCAGTAATAAGGGGATCGGGTGGTCAGTGGATCGGGTGGTCAGTAATATGTGGATCGGGTGGTCAGTGGATCGGGTGGTCAGTAATAAGGGGATCGGGTGGTCACCTTTTTCGGCACGTCACTTATTGATTCAGTGGTTGGTTAGCTTGGTCCAGACTGGAGTATGTGCACGTCATTGGCAATAACTGAAATATCCACACACTCACTCGACACCAAGGCCCGCCTTGCTCCGTACACATAGACATCTCCATCGCCAGCAACCCAGTGTATGAGTAATGGGAATTTTCCTATTACACAATCAATCCTGTAACCCCATCACCAGGGCTTCAAGAAACACGCATCTATGAACTAATGAACTGAGAGTTTGCAGATACTGTTGGTCTTATTAATGTCTACATCTCCAAAACAAATTCTGACAGACAGGTGTAAATTCAATTTTCTCATCCTCGATAACAGCTTGGTTGTAAATTAATCTAAAAACTTTGAGACGCCCACCCTGCTGGCAAGTCTCCAGTTCGTAACCACCCAGGTGGCCCGATCTGGAACTACTTTTATAACCATGTATTCATCCGCATACCTACCACATGCACTGACGTCTGGCAACTGCACCGGTACAGGTGGTTGAGGTCAACATGTTCGTAAAATAGTTCGTAACATATTGAACAATGTCAACACACATAGCTTTGATAACATTACAACCACATCTGTATGAAAGACCAGGTGATCCCCCGCCCCGCTCCCCGCGAGTACACCTGGGAGGTAGGGTTGTGTGTGTAACAGGGGTGTTATTAATGATATATAGGGGGAACATGTGACGTAAATCACGTGGAAGCGGTGAAAGACGGGTGTGTGAAATCCACAGGTGGTTGGACGAATGCCTTTCATCTTTTGACAGAATTGGACTGAGAGTGGAACACGGCGCATGCGTAACGTGATTAATAGGGGATATGTCAAAAGTCCCGAGATAGTACATTATATCATGGATGCATTGTGATATAATGGTTATCACATTGGTATTGTTCCCCAAGTATATGTTTATGGTGCTGTATCCAGTAAGAAACTGAACTGAGTGACTGAGTGCTGTGTTAATATCTGGGGTCTTTTTAACCCAGCTGTTAGATAACCAGTTTTATTCAGATGTATTACGCTCTGTGATATAAATGAGACGGTTAATACCTCACACCGCATCTAGCAATACTCGGCTGTATCACAGCTTGTAAATAACCGAGACTGGGTCGGGTAAACAGGTGGTTGATATCATGAGCATCAGTTCACGTCATCACCCACGTTATACATTGTAGCACGACTCTTATTCCGTGTGACTCGTGAAGATCCGGGGTAGAATAGGTCTTCAGCAATCCATGCTTGCCGTAAAAGGCGACGATGCTTGCTGGGAAAGGCGACTAACGGGATTGGGTGGTCAGGCTCGCTGACTTTGTTTGATGCATGTCATCGTATCCCAACTGCGTGGATCGATGCTCATGATGTCAATCACTGGAATTTCTGGTTCAGACTCGATTATTTACAGACCGCCGTCATATAGCTGGAATATTGCTGAGTGCAACGTCAGAGAACAAGTGAGTGAGTGAGTATGGTTTTACTGCGCTCTTAGCATTATTCCAGCAATATTACGGGGGTAACCAAAATTGGGCTTCACACATTGTACCCATGCAGGGAATGGAACCCGGGCTTTCGGCCTGACGAGCGAACGCTTTAACCACTAGGCTACCCCACCGCCAAACAAACAAACTTATTCCGTGTCCAAGATCAGCATTATCGTCCTACAACAGCGACTTGATGTACAGATGTCAAGCACAAACGAGCAGGCATATATGACTTGTATTGCGGCAATAAAACTCGAACTACTTTACGTTAAACCCTGTCCTGACCTCAGATTTGTACTAACCTCATACACATCAAACGTGTTGTCGTAATGTCATCCCGGGTCAGCAACTCGCTGTGGTTTGTGTTGCACTATGTATCCTGGACACAGACACATTGACAGAGGGACGCTCAGCTATTGAACCCCGGATCACAGCCAGCAGAGGTTTATGAGCTGTAATACCCGACCTCAGACATTCTCACTATGCCTTCAGCTTATAATGTCATAAATATTTATATGTTTCTGTATAAAAGGTTAGACCGATAAGATACCGTTAGAAAGCAACGTTCAGACCTCGTGGCGGGTCGGTGATGCACATCTATTTGTCGTGAGAGTTGGGGGTGGTGTTGGAGTGTTGGTCTGGTAAGCAAGGAAGTGAAGGGTTGGTGGTGTTTGGCTGGTTTGGCTCGTAAGTGTTAGACGGATTGGTTGCTTAGCAAAGAAGTAAATGGTTGGTTGTGCTTAGTTGGTTTGGCTCGTAAGCGTTAGACGGTTTGGTTGGTTTGGCCCGTAAACGTTAGACGGATTTTTTGGTAAGCAAGGAAGTGAAGGGTTGGTCTGACTTGGTTTACGTTGACCTAAATTTCTGTCTGGCTCAACCCACAGGTGCTCAATTGGGGTAACGGTCATGCTGAAAATTGCACCTGATGCTTGCAGTGCCAGGACAACGCGGGGACGTAGGATCTCGTCAGGATAACGCACACCTGTTAAGTTGCCCTGGCTATGAACACAATCTGTTTATCGCTCTGAGAGATGGCTCAACATATCAATGAAGGCATACACAGGCAAGGGTCTCGTTTTAATTTGGATAAATCACCAAGCAGGTTATTGAGAAAGAAATTCTACCTCGGACGTGGATAGTGAGACGCCATTGTTTTTAGATAGGAGCATTATGGCAGTAGGGTTCGTTCCGATTCGTTTAGGGGAAATCAATCGGAAAGATTTGGCTCGCATCCAGTTCTACTTGAAACAGCTGAAGTGTTATATTTGAAACAAGCTATAATCTTGAACCTAACACTTGCTGGCTAGCCCTTGTTTGAAGTATAAACAACTAACGCCATTAAATTGTTTCCTTGTCACTACTAGACCAGTTGTGTCTTTGGACAATCAGTGGTGAGGTGACTGACAAGACTACTACTACTACTACTACTACTACTACTACTACTACTACTACTACTACTACTACTACTACTACTGCTGCTGCTGCTACTACTACTGCTACTACTAGATACTACTACCACTACTACTACTACTACTACTACTACTACTTCTACTACTGCTGCTGCTGCTACTACTACTAGATACTACTACCACTACTACTACTACTTCTACTGGCACTAGGAACGCCTCTCTGGACCAGTGCATAGAGTCCTCCTGTTGTCACCCTGCCTCACGCTCGGCATTAAGGGGATAAAACAAGGACTGGTCGGCTCAGAGTCAGTATGCTGTATCTGAGTGGGGTATATATGTTGATATATATTGTTTTGCTTCAACTCCTAACATAATTAGTCCATTGTGATGTTTTTGAGTTCGTTTGAACTTCTTAATCATATATAGTCAAATAAAAGGACAGAGTTTTCAGTATATTTGAGAAATGTGACATTTAGGCATTTTATTAATTACCCAAGTAAATCACATTTTACACATTGACTGCAACGTATATACACCGAGAAAATTAGATCGACTGTCGACGATAATCTGTCGTATCCCTTATTCTGTACCTGAAGAAACAAGTGTTAAGTCAGTTTTCAGTGACAGTCAGTTGCTATACGTTTCATCCCGCGTGGAGAGATATGGGACACTTCATTTCTGAAAACTGTATCATCACAATCACGTGGACGACGTGAAAGGTTGGCATGTTCAATATGTGCATTCTACTAAAATAACCCGGCCGGTTTATAAATTTTGGCTCCACATCTGTACATTAGTGTTGCTCCATGTTAGTGGTATTCTGAATGTATAAATGGTTCCCCGGGTGGGAAAATAACGTCAGCAGTCTCGGTGGTCAATTGTCTGTTCCTAAGTAACAATGTAGCGTTTTTATACTGTTCAGTATATCACGTGAACCCGCAAGTTGGAGGGCGGTTTATGTGCTGTGTTCCCTAATCAGATGTTAAAGCTTGTAGTCTAATCTGATTTTAAAGGTTGTGACCCTTATCCGATGTAAAACAAGCTGGAGATGATTGAAATCACGTCACACAGCTAATTGCTTGAATGTGGGTCAAGGTCATAAGGAATAAATGTGTGTTTGATAAGCAAGGTCCTGTCCTAATCGGCGTTAAGCTGGTAAACAGAATAATCTCTAAGCCCAACAGCCCCTCTGCTGAGCGTGCTAATCACCGCATTCCATTTACAACCAGGTGAATATCAATAGTTCGATACTGCTAGCGTGCAATACAATACCTTCATTGTTTTCCAGAGCGTCACGTGACAGCGAGCAGACGACATTGAGCTCGGCAGACGACATTGCTAGAGTAGACGACGAGGAGAGGCTACGTCAAACGACTTGCAATGAAGTTTGATGACATGTAGAATTTTCGGAGAAGACGACACTGAATAAAGCAGACGACAGAAGGAAGAAGAGCAGACGACCGCAGTAATGGCGGACGCAGAGATCCTCAACGCTCTTTCGGAGGGTCTCTGCAGCTGCGGAATTTGCGGCCGTCCTCAGCGACGTCCTAAGGCTTTGCCCTGTCTACACTCTTTCTGCAAAACGTGTCTGAACGACCACATCAACGGCGAGCTCGAACGAAACGGGTCCAAGTCTTTCCCTTGTCCGAAATGCAGACAGACTACACTGCTTCCTTCCGACGGCAGGAGAGGGAGGTACGGCGATAGCTTCAAGGATGATTCGTTTGTAAATAAGCTCAGTGAGGTCTTGACCGCTTATAACGACGACAAATCCTGCGACATATGTGACAGAAGGGACGTGACGGCACCTGCAGTCAACTGGTGCATGGACTGCTATGACGCAATGTGTGACGCGTGCGGCAAGGTCCACCTCCACGGGGCGACCACCGCTGACCATGTCGTCATTTCCGCTGACGAGATGCGTAAACTTCCGCTGGAGAACGTCATGAAGCGGAAGCGTAGTGTTCTGTGCGGGAAGCACGAAGGGGAGGTGCTCAAGCTGTTCTGCGTAGACTGTCGAGGTCCTGCGTGTGTCCAATGTGCAGCGACGTCACATAGAACATGTAAGAACTGTGTAACGGTGGTGGAAGCTATGTCTGAGCGGGAGGAGGATTTAGGCGAGCTTATCGTTCAGGCAGAAGCGCTGCAGCTCAACCCCGAGGGGAAACCCAGGGGACAGGCCTTGGGGGACTCGGGGGAGGTCTTGGAGGAGACCATTAAGCGTTCAGAGGAGAGGATTAAATCCCTCTCGGCAGATTTGATCAAGAGGATCGAAGAGAGCCAGAGCAAACTTCTCAGTCGTCTGAACGACTCGGCACAGAAGCTTCGTAGCCAACTAAACGGGTCCAAAAAAGGCCCCCCAAAAGACCACATGACGACCCTAAAGTGCGCAAGTGAACGGATGCAGGCTCTGCTCAAGTACGGAAGTGACGTTGAGATCTTGCAGGTGTACGAGACTATCAAAGACTCGATCCAACAGATAGGGCAGGAGGGGGACTCGACCGTGGAACCCCCTGAAGACATGATGGTCAGGGTCAACTTTGCTGTGACAGACCCTGTGAAACTGTTCAACAGGGACTTTGAGGAACTCGGTGAGATTCAAATCGAGGATTGCAATTCGGACGAAGGTCTCTCCTCGTGGGGAGTCGCCTGCACGTCGAAGGGGGAGATAATCGTGGCTGATTGCCGGAACAAACGAGTTCAGAAGTTCACCGGTAATGGCGATCTCATTGATCAGATCCAGATCAGCGAGGAACCACGAGATTTGACGAGGTGTGGCGACAGAGAGGAGGTGGCCATTACCATCAACAAAAAAGTAATCTTCTTTGTCATCACTGGTGGACAGATGGCGCTCAAGAAGAGAGTGAGGACGGACAAACAGTACGACAGTATCGAAATGTCCAAATCGGAAGACAGTTTGCTCGTCAGCTGTCTCAAAGATGCTTCTGTGGATCTCATCAGCCTTGAAGGGGAGGTCCTGAAGTCCTTCAACGCAGATGCTGAGGGCAATCCGATATTCGTCCAACCACGATACGTTTGCTTCACAAGGGAGGGGAACTACGCTGTCACCGACGTCACCAGCAACACCGTCAAGTGTATATCCCCCGAGGGTCAGCTTGTCTACGCCTACCACCCCGACGGCGCCCACGTCCTCAGAAAACCTCAAGGTCTCTGCGCTGACAAGATCGGCAACATCTTCATCGCCGACTACGCCAACAGTCGGATCCAGCTGATCACCAGCGAGGGGTTCTTCCAGAGGTTTGTCCTGGCCAGAGAAAGTGGACTTTCTCGACCAGTGGCCATCAACATGACGTCCTCCAACAAGCTGATTGTGGTCCAGAGTGACGGGATGGTCAAAGTCTTCAGCTATGAATGACCCGGGCATATGAAGCCCCGCTTCAAAGTGAGTAAATTGCTTGTTGTGAGAATCTTGTTTTATGTCGAGTCAGTAATATTTCAGCTTATATGTCGGCGGCCTGTAAATAAGCCAGTCGGGGCATCCAAGCCAGTGGCTGTTATAATCAACAACAATGTACACCCTCTTGGTATGAAGACACAACAGGCACGATATTGTTTAACGCCGCTCTCAGCAATAGTTCAGCTTTATAGCGGCGGTGGCGGCCTGTAAATAATCAAATATGGATCAGACAATCCAGTGATTGATATCATGAGCAACGACCCACGCTGTATAGCGACGATGACTCGCAATCAACCAGGTCACCGGGCCTGACCACCCGATCGCCTCTTACAAGCATGGGTTGCTAGGGACCAATTTAAAAACCGAATCCCCACAGGGTACAAAATAGTTGTGATAACAGTACTATTATTGATGATGATGATGATGATGATGATGATGTTGATGTTGATGATGACTATATGCATTTAGCGTTAACAGCGCATTTTGTTAGGATGTGCATTTTGTCAACAAAGCTCCCATGTCTAAACAGAAAACGCGTCATCCCATGCAAACCGGAGCTTTCAAAAACCTTTTGAAAGATGCAAAGCTCAAAAGGATAAATCATTCTCGCATTTCAAATTTCCAACTCTGATTTGAAGATGAAAAGAAGGCCTCCTTATTTGCTATAGGTTTCCGTTTTGAAATTCAGAAGCCCGGAGTCATTTCGTAACTTTCTCTTTTACGGCGTTCATTCACAATACATTAAATTATGCGCGAAGTAGGAGGATTTTATTGCGCTTCAGGCGATAGGGATACCAGAAATGGGCTTCACACATTGTACCCATGTGGGGAATAGAACAGGCATTCAGCGTGTCGAGCGAACGCTTTAACCACTAGGCTTCACTAGGCCTGAAAGTAGGACTGGTGGTCAGCCTAAGTGACCGCTGGGCATGGGGTGCTGATATTAACCACTGGGGTGTCTGTGGTTTGAGGGTCGACCAGGGCGTAGGTCATCTTCCAAACTTGCTCGCCTACTCATTGTTTAACTGTTGCATAACACACACACACACACACACACACACACACACACACACACACACACACACACACACACACACACACACACACACACCTAAACAACATGCAAACGTTCCCCAATATTCTTTGGTGATTGACCCTCCATGGTAAGACCATTGATGCCTACCTACTATATATGCTCACGCCACACGGTAAAAACTGACGTCACGGGTAGGCACAATAAATAACCTATATATGACAAGCTTAGACACTTTCTGATATTCCCTCGTCTTGTTTGAAGGGGCATACAACGCTATCACTCACTCTATCACAATAATCAGTCGGGCTTTTGGGTGATCATTGGCTAGTTATTAAAGCGCTGGGTCGTCACGGATGCGATTCCCGACGTGTACAATGTGTGAAGTCCATATTCTTGCGAAACCCTCCTTCTTGTGAAGGCCATATTCTTGTGAATCCCCTCGTCTTGTGAAGGCCATAGTCTTGTGAATCCCCTCGTCTTGTGAAGGCCATAGTCTTGTGAATCCCCTCGTCTTGTGAAGGCCATAGTCTTGTGAATCCCCTCGTCTTCTGAAGGCCATATTCTTGTGAAGGCCATATTCTTGTGAATCCCCTCGTCTTGTGAAGGCCATAGTCTTGTGAATCCCCTCGTCTTGTGAAGGCCACAGTCTTGTGAATCCCCTCGTCTTGTGAAGGCCATAGTCTTGTGAATCCCCTCGTCTTGTGAAGGCCATATTCTTGTGAAGGCAATATTCTTGTGAATCCCCTCGTCTTGTGAAGGCCATAGTCTTGTGAATCCCCTCGTCTTGTGAAGGCCATAGTCTTGTGAATCCCCTCGTCTTGTGAAGGTCATAGTCTTGTGAATCCCCTCGTCTTGTGAAGGCCACAGTCTTGTGAATCCCCTCGTCTTGTGAAGGCCATATTCTTGTGAATCCCCTCGTCTTGTGAAGGCCATAGTCTTTTGAATCCCCTCGTCTTGTGAAGGCCATAGTCTTGTGAATCCCCTCGTCTTGTGAAGGCCATAGTCTTGTGAATCCCCTCGTCTTGTGAAGGTCATAGTCTTGTGAATCCCCTCGTCTTGTGAAGGCCACAGTCTTGTGAATCCCCTCGTCTTGTGAAGGCCATATTCTTGTGAATCCCCTCGTCTTCTGAAGGCCATATTCTTGTGAAGGCCATATTCTTGTGAATCCCCTCGTCTTGTGAAGGCCATAGTCTTGTGAATCCCCTCGTCTTGTGAAGGCCACAGTCTTGTGAATCCCCTCGTCTTGTGAAGGCCATAGTCTTGTGAATCCCCTCGTCTTGTGAAGGCCATATTCTTGTGAAGGCAATATTCTTGTGAATCCCCTCGTCTTCTGAAGGCCATAGTCTTGTGAATCCCCTTGTCTTGTGAAGGTCATAGTCTTGTGAATCCCCTCGTCTTGTGAAGGCCACAGTCTTGTGAATCCCCTCGTCTTGTGAAGGCCATATTCTTGTGAATCCCCTCGTCTTGTGAAGGCCATAGTCTTTTGAATCCCCTCGTCTTGTGAAGGCCATAGTCTTGTGAATCCCCTCGTCTTGTGAAGGCCATAGTCTTGTGAATCCCCTCGTCTTGTGAAGGTCATAGTCTTGTGAATCCCCTCGTCTTGTGAAGGCCACAGTCTTGTGAATCCCCTCGTCTTGTGAAGGCCATATTCTTGTGAATCCCCTCGTCTTGTGAAAGCCATAGTCTTTTGAATCCCCTCGTCTTGTGAAGGCCATATTCGTGTGAAGGCCATATTGTTGTGAAGCCCCTCGTCGTGTGAAGCCCATATTGTTGTGAATCCCCTCGTCATGTGAAGGCCATATTGTTGGTACCTTGCCTGGATATTGATGCACTATTTGCACTGGCGTGAAACTAACTCACTCACTCACTCACTCACTCACTCACTCACTCACTCACTCACTCACTCCATCTATCACCTATCCTCCATGTTTTTCAGGTGACATGTTGGTGCCCACACTGCCTCGCCAAGGAAGAACAGGAGGCGGCAGCTGCGCAGTAGACGCATTCAAAGAATTCTGGGAGATTATTGGCATCAAGGCCCTGCTGTAGACGCTATATCAAGACGCCGTCATAGATTCAGATGCTTGTAATGTGCTCGTAGAAAACATGACGTACTTCACTGTGTATATATCAGTCACGATGGCTTGTAACCTAGAGGACAAACTTGGCAGATTAGGAAGTAATAAACATATTGGCTTTACGAAAAAGTAGCAAAACCTCATTGACACATAGGTAGGGTTCTAATGAAGATTTGTATATCTGGATAAGTGTAGATTCACAGAAGATATAAAACTACATATACTGAACAAGAGAACCTTGAATATTTTTAGGGATATTATTTATGAAATAATGTACTTAATCTACAAAAAAGGATGTTTATGTTCAGTATATTTGTATCTTGGTAAGTAATGGGTTTCAAGACCATAACGAACACTGCTAGTCTTTAATACAAACTAACGACCCCTATTTGTTTTCCAAACAAGGAGACGGCGACGACAGTGTAGTCATCACGTCATCAACAACTCTTATCGTGCGCCACCTGTTTACCTGTAGAAACTTATGGCGGTTTATTCAAACAAGTTACCCAAGATGTAATCAGCAGCTACTAGTTATAAGGTATAATTTAAATACAGAATGTAATATGTTTTGTGAAAATGTTTTGCATGCTGTGTCTACACCATGCATATATCAAGTAATAAAGCCGAGAAATAATGGGGCGGGTTGGGTGGGTTCATTTCATCCCTAGATGTAGATTGGGTTCGACCCTCGGTAGGAGCAGGTTACGAGTTCATCAGTTCTACAAGTATTGAAACATGCATCATGTCATGTACAGGGAGACCCCGTTAATCCAGACGGTACCGTTCCTAGTATTGTCCGGATTAACAAATGTTAGGTCTGTCGAATCAAGGGACACGTTAATAGTGGCCCTTTGGCTTGGAACAAAACCTGGAATCGGCCGGATTAATGGGTGTCCGCTGTATATGTACACGACACACGGATAGGTAAGACTAAAAGATTAAATGGGGACTCCAGGAATAAGTTGAGTATGGAACCATTGGGAGTTGTTGAGCTCGAACTTAAAGTGAATTGATATCCCATCACAGCAGAAGAGGAGAAACAACCTTTTGACCTCGAAGAATATGATACGCATGACCCAAGCTCCTCGGGAGCGGTCACGTGTTGATGACGTCACTTCCGGTCACACTGGTAGGATTTCCGGCGCCTTTGCTTTTCCTTCCTTTCTATCACGTCAGTATTGCCATTTTAGTTCCTGTGTTTAGTTTGTATTTAGCTTTCTTATATTCCACGTCATGCGTCTTTCACCCGGATACACATGCGTTAGACAGTTTCAGAAATCCGCTGCCAAGTGAAATAGATCCTTAGGCTAAGGTTCTGCAAGTGGCAGCCAACCCCTACACGTTGCTGCTGAAAAAGCAAATATGAAAGATTGATTTTGATTACATACACCTTCACAAAATGATATTTTGATTTATTGTTAAAACAAACACCTCTTAAGCAAAACATAAGGGCAGGTATTCAAAGTCCGGACACTTGGCAGCGAATATATATTTCCATTAACCTTTCGTAGCGTTCCTAACAAAACATTCCTTTTTTTATGCATATATTATTCAACAAACTTCCTCTATGTGTTGTGTGTTAATATATTGTTGAAAACCTGATCCGTTAGGGATTGTCGTTTATTATGGAGATGGGTTGCACCAGAGATGTGCCACTCGTGACCTAACTAGGACCGTTCTCGTCAAAGTGGGTGAAAAGCCAGACATAACATAGTTCCCCTTTGTGAACCCGTCCCCCAACACCCTCTGTAATACCATGACAAGTCACTCACGCGCCATGTGGTTGTATGTTGCACTGAAGATGCTTGGCTTAAGACATAGGAATACTCATTCTTACTGAGGTCGTCACAAATGTAGGGCGACAAGGGACAACAAAGCTATGTTGCACTGAAGATGCTTGGCTTAAGACATAGGAATACTCATTCTTACTGAGGTCATCACAAATGTAGGGCGACAAGGGACAACAAAGCTATGTTGCACTGAAGATGCTTGGCTTAAGACATAGGAATACTCATTCTTACTGAGGTCGTCACAAATGTAGGGGGACAAGGGACAACAAAGGTTTGTGGAACTATTCCTTGCTTTACGCTTGTACAATATTTAACGAATTTGTTGATGTTTTCTTTTGTTCATTTCATCTTCACGTAAACGTTTCGTGTTTCAATTTCCTTAATAAAGTAGACAAACAACAGTTATCATACATGAGGGGGATTAACATGTGTACGTTAACTAGTAAGAACAGTGTCGAGGTTATCAAATTATGGCGACTGAACCAGACTGAACCAGGATGAAAATGTTGCCCAACATGAAGTATTATGGTACAACAAATACTATATTTAGTGTGTATATATATTTCGTTAGCAAATACATCTATCTTTCGTTATATCAGAATCGCTTATCTAGAATATTTCTTATTTTAATTCCCGTTACCTTTCTTGTCTATTTAGTTCCTCGACACATCCACTTATATTCTGTTTTTATTGTCTGCTAACACGGTGCTATGGACCCACGCGGCTTGCTGCCTTTCTTGCCTTTAACGTTTATAACGCTTTTATGCACTCGCTCTGTATTATTTGTACTTTCTAACAAGTGTTATTTTATTTCTGTTAGAAGCCGGAATGACTTCCTTGTGAAACGTGGCCCGATCGAATCATATGTTATGTTCATTAATGTTAATTCGACTTTGATACTGTATAGAGCATCTTCCTTGTTACCATTTACAGTATTATGAAATGAACAAAGTTGTATGTGTTCATTTTAAGATCTACGTCAAACATAACCCCCAAACACGTCATTGAAATATATTTCTAAATTCATAATCGTGTAAATGTAGATTCACTGACAAAATGTTTCTATCCAGACTAAATCCACAGATCACGTATAATGAAAAGCAGTCTTGCCAATTAATCGACAATTAGTACTTTTCTGGCACCTAGGTAAAACGTAGATAGGTTTCGATATATTTACACATGTGCCTATGTCAGGTAAACCGACACTTTTTTAAATCATGATGACGTTGAATTGCTTTTTCACTTTTTTAACATCAAAGCTGGTTCAGCCTCCAACATCACAACAACCTGGATTTATTCCTCACTACTCGAAAATGTATTTTTCCACATAAAAAATAATTACAGATAAACAACCTGTAAGCCTCAATTAAAAAAAAACAGGTGCTTAGTTTAACAGAGCAATATGATTACGTAAAGGAATTGGAAGATGCACTTACATATCCATTGTGTCGACTAAATACCGTCATATTATCCACATCTTCAAAAGGTCATCAATCACATCATAACCAACAGGACTGTATTACTTTCAAATACCCAAACGACGTAACTGATGGAGTTTCCACTTCAAAACATAACGCAAGATGAACTATTCCTGCTATGGATTGAAACTTGGTGCTACATTTCTTGTTTCCAAAATTCCGACAGTAGACCAACTTACATTGTCAGCTTACTATATATTCATTGGATTGTTGTGTTTGTAGTAATTTATTCATAGTTTCGTGATGACGTCTTACATTAAACAATTACTATAGACATTCATCAGAGGGGTTCTTGAAATTCCACAGTATTGTTTGAGCAAGTTGATACATACAAAAGCATGATGATGCCACTTTGGTACCATAATACTATTTTTTTCAAATAGAAGTTTACGTTTTTCCAATTCTTTTCCCGTTACTTCGAGTTTTTTCTTATTACTTCAAGAATATTTAAAAAACTTGAAATTTCGATTTTTTTCTCTTATTATTTTCCTTGTTTCAAATCTATTTCCAAAACTCGAAATTGCGAGAAAATTATTGACATAACGAGAATTAAACCAAAATAATGAGAATAAAATCGAAATAACGAGAAAAAAAATCGAAATTTCGAAATAATATTTGAAATAAGGAGAAATTTCGATTTAAAAAATAATTTAAAAATATTGTACCAAAGTGGCACCATTAGATTTTCGTAGATACACGATTAAAAGTAGTGTATAAAATAAAAGCGACAAAACCCTAAAATCAGAGTCCATTGTATGATTCAGACTATATCATAAACATGTGTTAATGAATCACTATCAAATAGTGATGACGGCAGGTGTTCGGCAGGAAGAGGTGAGCGTATCCTGCCGCACAGGTGGCACCCGTCACAAACACATGCAAAGGCAAGTGTTTACACGAAGAAAACAACCCACGGGAACACGTGTACCATTGCACATGTCATTATATTGTCAGTTTTTATTTGTATTATTTATGAATTGAATAATGTATGTTGTTGTTGAATAAATTAAGATAGAGATTTCCATTTTGGTGTTGTTTGTAAAACACACTTGTATAACAAAAGAACCTGACGAGTTCCAGAATGAAAGGAGTCTAATAAACATCACACAGTTACATCTCGGGACAAATCCCCGTGTTTCGGAAGGTCAAGGGTGGGCAGACTGTGAGTGAGTGAGTGAATGTGGTTTAACGCTGCTTTAAACAGTATTCCAGTTATATCACGGCGTGTCAGCTTGATGTGGGAGGAGTGAGTGAGTGAGTGTGGTTGAACGCTGCTTTGAACAGTATTCCAGTTTTATATCACGGCGTGTCAGCTTGATGTGGGAGGAGTGAGTGAGTGTGGTTTAACGCTGCTTTGAACAGTATTCTAGATATATGACTGCGTGTCAGCTTGATGTGGGAGAACTGAGTGAGTGTGGTTTAACACTGCATTGAACAGTATTCAAGATATATCACGGCGTGTCAGCTTGATGTGGGAGGAAAGCCAGAGGTGATGCAGGTCTCGGACGTTTGCCACTTTGATGAACCCACGAACATGGGTATAGTGCTGGGAGATGGAGGATGGCTTTACCGGTCGCACCAGCCACTCGGACACTGTGCATGACAAGTGTCAGCAGTGCTCCTGTTAAACACGGTGATAGTGCTGGGAGATGGAGGATGGCTCTACCGGTCGCACCAGCCACTCGGACACTGTGCATGACAAGTGTCAGCAGTGCTCCTGTTAAACACGGTGATAGTGCTGGGAGATGGAGGATGGCTCTACCGGTCGCACCAGCCACTCGGACACTGTGCATGACAAGTGTCAGCAGTACTCCTGTTAAACACGGTGAGGTGGCCTGGAATGGGGTTTGAGGTCGCGTCCAAGATTATTGCACATATATAGCGACGTAATGCACGTGCATGTGTTTGTGTGGCTGCTTGTTCTAGTCCAGGCTGATGCCAATTTTATAGTGCTAGCCAACCGAGATACAATGCCGCAGTTTAACATGAATACCCCACTCAGACACAGCAGTATACTGACTCCGAGTTGACCAGTCCTTGTTTTAGACCCTTAGTGCCGAGCAGACAGGTTAACAACAAGTACCATCTTTTAACGTGTTTTGTTATGACGCGGACGGGGATCGAATCCCGGAACTTCCGCTCATCGGGCATACGCTTTACCAGTAGACCACGGGAGCGGTTAATAAAACTGATATAAAGATATAGTTGTTTAGATGGCCCTAGTTCAGTAGCGGCCTTAAAATCGCGAAGACATTGTAAATCACCAAAGTTGCACTCTATCTTTAAACGTTAAGATAGCAATGGACAATATTTCGTCAGTGGTAACAAAATCCTATTTTTGGAAATTTGGACATATTATCCCCATTTAGTCAGTGTTTGGTTATCTCGCTTATTCCAACCATCGACCAGCCAGCCAGCTACTACGAACATAGGCACTCCAACCTCCAAGTTTCTTTCAGAAAATAAGTTATTTAAGTAATTTAAAAAAAACCCCACCATTTTACTCCCAGATGTCAAACAAATCTGTGCTTAATACCGTGTTTATTCTATATAGATTCCTGTGATTTCGAGATATGACAGGACATACAAACTATATCCCCCTTTTTAATGGAAAAGCATTTCAGTGTGGAGTTTATGATTATTGGGCATATGAATATTTTAAAATAAATTACAAAAGTACGTAAAATTTTACGTTGTATTGGTGTTTGGCCGCTGATTTTCATTTCCAAACGTTTTGAAGGATAACTTCTTTGAGAGGCATTAAGAAGTTGTTCATCCACACTGACTGATTTGAAGGATATTTTATGTCCGCTTCAGCGAATACGTGCACACCTCCGACTATCGCTGTTCAGATGGTGCGTCGGTTAGCTGTGTCACTTATGAACCTGGTGTTCGGTTAGAACGATTAATGGGTCAATCAAAGTCAATATGCGGCTTGATACTTCTAAACAAATATTGGATGTAATATTAAAAGTGTGACTAGATGAATAAACGTCTTAACATCTAAACAAAGAGTTCCTTATATTACTGCTTACATGGCATCACGAGAAAATATATTTTTGAATACATGGATATCTATGTACCTCGCCTAATGAAAAATATAATTATTATATAGGTTCCATATTCTCATTGTGAAAATTAGGTAATAATACATTACAGTTATCAACATAGGCCTGTAATCAACTACGGTAATTATACATAAGAGTTATCGATATAAACTTACAAATATCCCCCTACAACATGTACTGTATCAACAACGGTAATTATACATTAGAGTTATCAATATAAACTTACAAATACCCCCCCCCCCCCCCCCACCCCCCCCCCACCCACCACCACCACCCACAACACGCACTGTAGTCAACTACGATAATTATACATTAGAGTTATCATTATTAATGTAGTATATCACCAGGGAGCAGCACGGCGAGTGGTCTTGTCAAAGAACGTATATCCAGTATCATAATTTATTAGACGAGGTGTCATAAACCACTTTACATACGGCTAGCATGTTAGGTACTGAGTTCTGCAAACACTTGCTGGTTTGATCATTGCCAAAGCTACATTAGTACTTTAGGCACCATGTGTTAGGCGTGTACGTGCTTATAATAAACATGTAAACAAATACACTGCCCGAGGCACGTGTACGGCTCTAGATGGACTCAGGTATTAGGGAGAAAACCCAAAAGCCATAACTCCTACTGATTGTTTAATGAGTGAGCGAGTGAGTGTGTTTTTTTGTCGCTCTTTTGCAATGTTTCAGCAATATCACGGCAGGGGAAACCAGAAATGGGCTTAACACATTGTACCCATGAAGGGATTCGAACCCGGGTCTTCAGCGTGACGAGCGAACGTTTTACATCGCCGTCCCTATTCTTTTTTAGTCCAAATGTATTTATGTAAATATTACAGCTGCGTTCCCTCATCCATGTTTAAAGTGAATGAACATCTTAACAAATGTATTTATGTAAATATTACAGCTGCGTTCCCTCATCCATGTTTAAAGTGAATGAACATCTTAACAAATGTATTTATGTAAATATTACAGCTGCGTTCCCTCATCCATGTTTAAAGAGAATGAACATCTTAACAAATGTATTTATGTAAATATTACAGCTGCGTTCCCTCATCCATGTTTAAAGTGAATGAACATCTTAACAAATGTATTTATGTAAATATTACAGCTGCGTTCCCTCATCCATGTTTAAAGAGAATGAACATCTTAACAAATGTATTTATGTAAATATTACAGCTGCGTTCCCTCATCCATGTTTAAAGAGAATGAACATCTTAACAAATGTATTTATGTAAATATTACAGCTGCGTTCCCTCATCCATGTTTAAAGAGAATGAACATCTTAACAAATGTATTTATGTAAATATTACAGCTGCGTTCCCTCATCCATGTTTAAAGTGAATGAACATCTTAACAAATGTATTTATGTGAATATTACAGCTGCGTTCCCTCATCCATGTTTAAAGTGAATGAACATCTTTAAAAATATATTTCAGTTTACCGTTTCGTTTATTTTACTTTTTTTTCAAGGAAGACGTGAAGAAAGAAAAGAAATCTGACTGTGCGAAAATGTTTCTAAATAACTTGCTGTATGATAAGCCAACCTGAATATATCAATCACAATTTTGATTTTGTCTTTTTATATATATCTACAATTTAAAAACTAATTTATTCAACGATTGCGGGGGTCCTTTCACGGTGACCACTTAGGGATTCCTGGTAAGAATAACTCCCCAGCAACCTGTCAATCCCAAAATATCGCATGGCCTTTGTAAAAGTCGCTGCTAGTTGAAATTTAAATTGTTGTGGGGAAATGAATAATCACAATATTTTCAACAAATGTAAAGACATTAAATCACAACAGCAGATGAGACGTGGTTGTTTAGGCGACGGTGAACTGACTGCACCACACCAGATGCCACAGACCAATAAACCCATAAACCTGAGGGAGGCGTCCAGTCCGCAAACAATGTCCAGAGCTTGCACATATATCCAAATAGAGAGTGTGAAACCGGATCCCACCCATCAGACTCAAGGGTTGACTTAGTGTATCACAGCCCACGCCGTGAACATCTGCTGGATCTGGATGAGATCGTGACGATATATCATAGTTAGTCATTTTTAATTTTGGACCATATATGTCAATTTAATGTAACACCCTAGCTTATATAAAGAACACAAACTGTTTTCAACCCACGACGTGCAGCTGAGAGCCGATGCAGTCAGGTAAGCAGCAATTATACTGTTATCAATACAACAATCTATACCGCTGTATCGTGCAGTTTGTCGTTCATGCATCTTGCTTCAATAACACTTCAATCATACTTCAGTCATACTTCAGTCACACTTCAGTCATACTCCAGTCATACTTCAGTCATACTTCAATCATACTTCAGTCATACTTCAGTCATGGGAAATAAACTGGCGGGCAAAAGAAAGTAAGTTACAAACTTTATGAAAATGTTTCAAAACTAAAAACATTCGCCGAAACACTGCAAATTTGAGGTCCAAAACGCAACAGTGATACCCGTATCAAATACATCACCATCAAATAAACATTTCTTGTTTGTTTCATTTTAGCCTTATCGCACATGGTGTATACTCTTTTTTGCATACATACTTCTACAAGTAGAGGGTTACATCCTTGTGTGTTTCACTGTAGGTTCACATAATATTCGGGGCGGTCGGGTAGCCTAGTGGTTAAAGCGCTCGCTCCTCACGCCGAAGACCCAGATTCTAATCCCGACATGGGTAAAATGTGTGAAGCCCATTTCTGGTGTCCCCCGCCGTGATATTGCTGGAATATTGCTAAAAAGCGGCATAAAACCAAAACTCACTCACTCACTCACATAATATTCTGGGTATGGATGTGCTTTACGACCTCGTCACGGCTTGTCTGTAACATCAGGAGTTGTGTAGTTGTCACATCAAGGTGGGTCCCGTCACACAAGTGTGCTGGTACCGTGTTAGCCCTGCCGGGTAGCGTTTGTAATTGTCACCTCGTTTGCACCCTTTACACTACTCCAACTGTACAACCTCTCTTGTTGGTTGTCAGTACAACAGTGTGACGAGAGGGGGCCATTGTACAAAATGACAGTACAAGAGAATGACGAGGAGGCGAGATTGTATAATATGACAGTACAACAGTATGACGAGAGGGCGAAATTATAGAATATGACAGTAAATCGGTATGAAAAGAGGGCACGATTGTATACTATGACAGTACAACAGTGTGATGTGAGGGCGCGATTGTAGACTATGACAGTACAACAGTGTGAAGTGGGGGCGCGATTGTAGACTATGACAGTACAACTGTGTGATGTGAGGGTGCGATTGTAGACTATGACAGTACAACAGTGTGAAGTGAGGGCGCTATTGTAGACTATGACAGTACAAGAGTGTGATGTGAGGGCGCGATTGTAGACTATGACAGTACAAGAGTGTGATGTGAGGGCGCGATTGTAGACTATGTCAGAACAACAGTGTGAAGTGGGGGCGCGATTGTAGACTATGACAGTACAACAGTGTGAAGTGGGGGCGCGTTTGTAGACTTTGACAGTACAAGAGTGTGATGTGAGGGCGCGATTGTAGACTATGACAGTACAACAGTGTGATGTGAGGGCGCGATTGTAGACTATGACAGAACAAGAGGGTGATGTGAGGGCGCGATTGTTGACTATGACAGTACGATAGTGTGATGTGAGGGCGCGATTGAGGCTATGACAGAACAAGAGGGTGATGTGAGGGCGCGATTGTAGACTATGACAGTACAACAGTGTGATGTTTGGGCGCGATTGTAGACTATGACAGAACAAGAGTGTGATGTGAGGGCGCGATTGTAGGCTATGACAGAACAAGAGAGTGATGTGAGGGCGCGATTGTAGGCTATGACAGAACAAGAGTGTGATGTGAGGGAGCGATTGTAGACTATGACAGTACAACAGTGTGATGTGTGGGCGCGATTGTAGACTATGACTGTACAACAGTGTGATGTGAGGGGGCGATTGTAGACTATGACAGTACAACAGTGTGATGTGAGGGCGCGATTGTAGACTATGACAGTACAACAGTGTGATGTGAGGGCGCGATTGTAGACTATGACAGTACAAGAGTGTGAAGTGGGGGCGCGTTTGTAGACTTTGACAGTACAAGAGTGTGATGTGAGGGCGCGATTGTAGACTATGACAGTACAACAGTGTGATGTGAGGGCGCGATTGTAGACTATGACAGAACAAGAGGGTGATGTGAGGGCGCGATTGTTGACTATGACAGTACGATAGTGTGATGTGAGGGCGCGATTGTAGGCTATGACAGAACAAGAGAGTGATGTGAGGGCGCGATTGTAGACTATGACAGTACAAGAGTGTGATGTGAGGGCGCGATTGTAGACTATGACAGAACAAGAGTGTGATGTGAGGGCGCGATTGTAGGCTATGACAGAACAAGAGAGTGATGTGAGGGGGCGATTGTAGACTATGACAGTACAACAGTGTGATGTGTGGGCGCGATTGTAGACTATGACTGTACAACAGTGTGATGTGAGGGGGCGATTGTAGACTATGACAGTACAACAGTGTGATGTGAGGGCGCGATTGTAGAATATGACAGTACAACAGTGTGATGTGAGGGCGCGATTGTAGACTATGACAGTACAAAAGTGTGATGTGAGGGTGCGATTGTTGACTATGACAGTACAAGAGAGTGATGTGAGGGCGCGATTGTAGACTATGACAGTACAACAGTATGATGTGAGGGCGCGATTGTAGACTATGACAGTGGAAGAGTGTGATGTGAGGGAGCGATTGTAGACTATGACAGTACAACAGTGTGATGTGAGGGAGCGATTGTAGACTATGACAGTAGAACAGTTTGATGTGAGGGCGCGATTGTAGACCATGCCAGTACAAGAGTGTGATGTGAGGGCGCGATTGTAGAATATGACAGTACAACAGTGTGATGTGAGGGCGCGATTGTAGAATATGACAGTACAAGAGTGTGATGTGAGGGCACGATTGTAGAATATGATAGAACAGCAGTAAAACGAGAGGATGCGATTGTAGACTATGACAGTACAACAGTATTACGAGAGGGGACGATTGTTCAAAATAACAGTACAAGAGTATTACAAGGAGGCGAGATTGTATAATATGGCAGTACAACAGTATAACGAGAGGGTGCGATTGTAAAAGATGACAGTACAACAGTATGACGAGAACGCCAGATAAAAACCAGTCCCCCGTGGAAAAGGCAAGATTGTGGTGAAAACTATTTTCTATGAACAGATTACTGTTACGTCGCGAAAAGGGTAAGCATGTCCTGCCCTGCCGGTAACACCCGCCATTCACACCCGCCATTCACACCCGCCACTCACACCCGCCATTCACACCCGCCACTCACACCCGCCACTCACACCCGCCGCTCACACCTGCCACTCACACCCGCCACTCACACCCACCTCTCACACCCGCCATTCACACCCGCCACTCACACCCGCCTCTCACACCCGCCATTCACACCCGCCACTCACACCCGCCACTCACACCCGCCACTCACACCCGCTATTCACACCCGCCATTCACACCCGCCACTCACACCCGCCACTCACACCCGCCACTCACACCCGCCATTCACACCTGCCACTCACACCCGCCACTCACACCCGCCGCTCACACCCGCCGCTCACACCCGCCATTCTCAGAGCCGCCACTCACACCCGCCACTCACAGCCGCCACTCACACCAGCCACTCACACCCGCCACTCACACCCGCTATTCACACCCGCTATTCACACCCGCCACTCACACCCGCCACTCACACCCGCCACTCACACCCGCTATTCACACCCGCCACTCACACCCGCCACTCACACCCGCCGCTCACACCCGCCACTCACACCCACCTCTCACACCCGCCACTCACACCCGCCACTCACACCCGCCGCTCACACCCGCCTCTCACACCCGCCACTCACACCCGCCTCTCACACCCGCCACTCACACCCGCCACTCACACCCGCCACTCACACCCGCCACTCACACCCGCCGCTCACACCCGCCTCTCACACCCGCCACTCACACCCGCCTCTCACACCCGCCACTCACACCCGCCACTCACAGCCGCCACTCACACCCGCCACTCACACCCACCTCTCACACCTTCCACTCACATCCGCCACTCACACCCGCCACTCACAGCCGCCACTCACACCCACCTCTCACACCCGCCGCCACTCACACCCGCCATTCACACCCGCCACTCACACCCGCCACTCACACCCGCCTCTCACACCCGCCACTCACACCCGCCTCTCACACCCGCCACTCACACCCGCCACTCACAGCCGCCACTCACACCCGCCACTCACACCCACCTCTCACACCCGCCACTCACACCCGCCACTCACACCGCCACTCACACCCGCTATTCACACCCGTCACTCACACCCGCCACTCACACCCGCCAATCACACCCGCCGCTCACACCCGCCACTCACACCCGCCGCTCACTCCCGCCACTCACACCCGCCATTCACACCTGCCACTCACACCCGCCGCTCACACCCGCCACTCACACCCGCCTCTCACACCCGCCGCTCACACCCGCCGCTCACACCCGCCACTCACACCGGCCCCTCACACCCGCCACTCACACCCACCTCTCACACCCGCCATTCACACCCGCCACTCACACCCGCTATTCACACCCGCAACTCACACCCACCTCTCACACCCGCCACTCACACCCACCTCTCACACCCGCCATTCACACCTGCCACTCACACCCGCCACTCACACCCGCCTCTCACACCCGCCGCTCACACCCGCCACTCACACCCGCCATTCTCAGAGCCGCCACTCACACCCGCCACTCACAGCCGCCACTCACAGCCGCAACTCACACCCGCCACTCACACCCGCCGCTCACACCCGCCACTCACACCCGCCGCTCACACCCGCCGCTCACACCCGCCGCTCACACCCGCCGCTCACACCCGCCGCTCACACCCGCCCCTCACACCCGCCACTCACACACACCTCTCACACCCGCCACTCACACCCGCCTCTCACACCCGCCACTCACACCTGCCACTCACACCCGCCGCTCACACCCACCTCTCACACCCGCCTCTCACACCCGCCATTCACACCCACCGGTCACACCCACCTCTCACACCCGCCTCTCACACCCGCCACTCACACCCGCCTCTCACACCCGCCTCTCACACC